TTGGGAGCAAGCCAGTCTTGTATCTTTCGATTTCACTGTTCTACAGGAAAAAGACTCCAATTAACCCTTATCTGCTCCTCAGGAATGTAGAATTATAGAACCATTGATTTTTTTTTTCATAGAAGAAGTTATCTTCAGTGGTCTTCTAGCTTAGCCCTATGAAGAAGCATGAGGCCCAGAGAGGTGAGCTGACGTGCCTCAGAACATCTCACGGAATCAGGGAATCAGGGTCTCTTCAGATGTCTAAAACAGAGGTCTTTCTAATTAAGCTTCTATTTCTTGCTTGAAAACCAGGTGTGCAACTTGGTATCAGTCTCCCTGCCCAGAAATAAGTGAAGTCAGCCATTCTCTTTTCTTTGTTTTTTGGTGGAATTTTGCTTAGGAATTGCACCTTCTCATTTTTTGTGCAGTTATATTGGAAGGACAAGAGAGGAAGGTATTTAAAACATGAAAAAGAGTATTTTTAGTGTCTGAAAATCCAAAAAAGGAGGTTTAAGATGTCATTTGTCTTTTCTCCTTGAGTCAAACTGCCCCTGATTTGAAGCTGCAATAACCTCTCTTGTACTTAAAGATCCTCAAAGAAGGAACAAATTAGTCCTGCATTTCACAGCACTTACTATCAGAAATTTCTTCCTTATTGCTAGCCCAAATCTCTGTTTTTTTGACTTAATTCTAGTTTCTTTTATTTGGTGCCCCAAATTACTAAAACTAAAAGTTAACACTTGCTGAGAGGTTACTATGTGCTAAATGTTATTCATAATCAGTGATCACAGTGGCTTGAGCTAGGGCTCTAGACTCTGAAGTTTACGGTCAAATCGCAATTCTTTCACTTCCCAGCTGTGTGAAGTTGAGCAAGTTCCTTGACCAGACTCTGCCTTAGTTTTTTGCATCTGTGAATTGGGCAAAAAAAAGTGCTTCCTTTCCCATGGCGTAATTCTAATAATTGAAATAGTTAACATGTGTAAGATGCTTAGAAAAAACAATGTTAGCTATCATTATATCTCATTTAATTCTCATTACAGTCTATGAGAGTTATTTTTATCAACATCTGTGTTTTGCACATAAGGAAACTGGAGCATTGAGAAGTGAAGTTACCCAAGGACACAGAGCTTACAAGGGAGGAACTTGAATTCTAAAACCAGGGAAAGTGAGGACTGAGGTCCATCCACTATTTCCCACTTCTCTGTGAGTCCTCCTTGGGTGGGTTAGACCAGGGTGGGGAGGGGGCATGCTGTGAGCAAAAGGCATTGTCACTGAAAAGGTCTCAGAATCCAACGCTCCCTTTTTCTCTGGGCTTAATTACCTGAGAAGATTGGTTTTTTTCCCCATAGAGGATGATTCTGAATCCCTTCTTGGTATCTGAGACCCTCCTTTGGACCCCCCCCCCTCACTCTCTCAGACCCCTCTCATGGTGTATGGACAGGGCACAGGTGGCTTTGGAGTCACACAATCCTGGGCCTGACTCAGTGCCATCGTGCCTTGCCATGCAGTTTGGGCACACTATGTGCTCTGTCTTCATCTGTGTAATCAAGATGCTGATCCTATATGACTGTGTGAACATAAATGTGCCCAGAGCCAGCAGGCACTCGGTAAATGATTCTTTTCTCTTTCCTATATGAGGAGCCCAAAGTGTCCTAAACACTAAGCCAAAACCCCTTTCCAGCTGAGCACAGTCAATAAGTGGTTGCTTTTGCTACCATTCCTTGATCAAATTGCTCACCATTTGAGCTAAAATCATCCACCAAGATGATCTCCTTCAATAGTCGCGAGGGGGTCCGGTTGATGACACTGGCGATGGCCCGTTGTATAATGGACAGAGCCTCGTTCATGAATATGAGAATGACACTGAGGGATGGGAGCTGTGACGAATATGTCTTCTGAAGGCACCTACAAGAGACCATTTTTATAACCATGTTACTTTTTTAAATTACTTAAACATCAGTATCTAATATACCCCTTCACTACATATAATGTGTATAGGTGTAGATGTGAACAAACACCATTTCCATCTTTTTGTTCTTTCATGCTGTGACCCTTGACTGACCTCACTGTCCTTAGTAAGTGTATCAAAGCCTTTAGTTAATAATTATCTGTGTTCCTTAAAATGTAGCCATATTTTTTTTTCTGCTAGTAACAGCCAGAATGGCATGACAAGTGAGATAAATATTAAACTGGTGACAGAATTGATTATAAACAATCACAAGATCACCAGGAGGTATGGCCCCTGGCACTACTACAACCTTTGTCCCTTCATCGTATCAGTCATTAGTACCCAAAATTATACTACAAAGTACTGTAACAGGAGTCTGTTAGCCGAGAATAATCTGCACAGAATTGCTGGGTCATCTCTTCTGCTCCAATGCAAGCTTCCCATTAAGTAAATTACCCTGTTATATTCTGTTATATTCTATGGAGTTGCCTGCTTCATTTATCAGTCTTAAGAGACCTTCTTGTTATGGCGGCCATTACACTTTTGCCCCGTGATGAGACATAATGTTATAATACCAATCGATTCCCCAATTCCCCGAGCTCATTAGGAAGGGAAACCCTTGCTTATCATAGTAGCAAGATTATGTATTTGTTTATCCAAAATTTTCCTGTTATGGGGATAAAATCCATTTCTTTTTTATTAATCTCCAGTAGACATTTCCACCTAAACATTCAACATACCCCCCAAAGGAATTCTTATATCTCTCCCATCCCCAAATTAGCTTCCTTGCCAGAGGCTTTCTTTCCGTCATTGCCATCACCCTTTTCCCATGTTCTCAGACCTTCACTCATTTTTGACAGTCTTTTACTTCACCACTATAGAGAGGTGGCAAACTGCCCCCAAAATTGTGCTTGATACATTTTTTTAAACATCATAATTTACATTTATTAAGTGTTTATCATATGCTAGGCACTGGCTTACTCTTCTTTTTAAAAATATTTTTATTGCGATAACATTTCACATATGATAAAATTCACCCACTTAAAAGTGCACACACAATTCAGTGTTTTTTATAACATTCAGAGTTGACCAACCATCACTACTATCTAATTTTAAAACACTTCGTCACACTAAAAAACCCTCATACCCATTACTAGTCACTCACCATTTCTCCCCAACCCATTCTACTTCCACCTACTTCAGCCAGAGACAACCACTAACCTAATTTTTATCTCTGTAGAATTGCCTGTTCTGGACTTTTCATATAAATAAATGGAAACATATAATATGTGGTCTTTTGTGACTGGCTTCTTTCACTAATATAATACTTTCAAGGTTCATCAATTTTGTAGCACATATCAGTACTTCATTCCTTTTCATTGTCAAATAATATTCCACTGCATGAATATGCCACATGTTTATCCATTCATCAGTTGTTGGACATTTAGGATGTTGCTACTTTTTCATTATTAATGCCACTGTGAACATTCTTGAACAAGTTTTCATGTTGGCATCTGTCTTCATTTCACTTCTATACATACCTAAGATTATAACTGCTGAGCCAAATAACTCTATGTTTAACATGTGGACCCCAAGAAGAAAGATTCATTTGATGTGAACCCTAAAAAGGAATTTACCTGCTGAGGTGGACTCCCCATAGTCAACCAAGGGCCCAAATTTTATAAATAAGAGACTAGTGGCCATTTGTTGACAGGGGATTCTCACGTACTCTGTACACCAGGAAGAACCTCAGACTGAACCCTCAGCTTCCCGCACTGTGCCCCACTTTGCCATCTGAGTTTATGACATCTGAGTCAACCATTACAAGGAAAGCCTGGTTTTATTTTTCCATCGACAGCCTGAGACCTTCCCTGTTGAACCTGAAGTACACTATTTGGATACCTCATTTACATAAATGGACTTAATTGAGAACCTGGGTGCAAACTTTTGCTATAAAAGACTCCCTCCCCTTTGTCTCAATGGAACACAGTTTAGGTTGCTACCTGAATCTGTGTCTCCTGAGCTGCAGCTCCTCTCAAATAAATGCCTTTTATTCTTTATTACAGTCTATAATTAATTTTGATTTACAAACAAGTTGATGAATTGCCATACTGTTTTTCAAAGTGGCTGCACCATTTTACATTACCATCACACCAGTACTGAATGAGGGTTTAAATTTCTCCAGATCCTGGACAATGCTTGTTATTTTGATGTTAGCCATCCCAGTGGTTGTGAAGTATTCTCATTGTGGTTTTGATTTCCATTTCCTTAACAACTAATGATGTTAAGCATCTTTTAACTGCTTCTTGGTCATTTGTATATTTTTTTTGAGCAATGTCAAAGTCTTTTTTCATTTTTAACTTAATTATTTGTCTATTTATTATTGAGTTGTAGGAGTTATTTATGTATTCTAGATTCAAGTACCTTATTGGATACATGGTTTGCAAATATTTCTCCCACTCTGTGAGTTGTTTTTTACACTTTCTTGATGATATTATTCGCAGCAAAAGATTTTTCAGTTTTGATGAAGTTCAACTTTCAATCTTCTCTTTTATCACTTATGCTTTTGGTGTCATATTTAAAAACCACTGCCTACCCCATAATCTCCAAGATTTACTCCTATGTTTTCTTCCAAGAGTTTTATAGTTTTATCTCTTACATTTACACGTATGACCATTTTGAGTTAATATTTATGTATGGTATGGTGTAGAGTTCCAACTTCATCTTTTCTGCATATAAATCCCCAGTTATCCCAACCCATTTGTTGAAGAGCCTATTCTTTCCTCCATTGAATTATCTTGGCACCTGTAAAGAAGAAAAACTCTCCTGTTTGCCTTTCTCTCTACTCACAGCACTACTCACAAAGAAAACTTCAGTGACCAGATGTGGGGGTGGGGGTGGGGGTTCCATATAAAATAATTCTGTGACACTATTTGGGTGCCCCATAATTTAACTTAATTCTGATACTACCTACCTGAAGCTGAAGTTAACATCAGATCCCACAGGTCAAGGGTTCAGGCCCACAAGACTGCCCCTCTCCCCCATCCCCCCCACCCCTCACCACAACCCACTACAGAGGGCAATCACAAGTCTAGGTTGTTACCTGTGCTTCTGACCCACTGGCTATAAAACCGAGGTTCCCAGGATCACCTGCTTGGGTCAGATTAATTTGCTAAAATTCCTCACAGAACTCAGGAAACCAGTTTACTTACTAGATTACCAGATTTTTACAAAGAATATGAAAGAATACGAATGAACAGCCAGCTGAACAGATACACAAGACAAGGTCCTGAAGGGTCCCAAGCACAGGAGCATCTGTCCCAGTGGAGTTTGGGGTGCAGCACACAGCTGGCACGAGGATGTGTTCTTGTTCACCAACCCCAAAGCTCCCCAAATCCCATAGTTCAGTGATTTTTATGGAGGCTTCATTCTGTAGGCATAATTGATTAAATTATTGGCCAACTGTGATCACATCTCTCTCCAGGCCCCTCTCCCCTCCCAGAGGCGTGGAAGAGCTGAAAGTCCCAAACCTCTATCTAATCTCAAGGTTGCTTAGTTTTGCAACTAGTTCATACCCTCAGGAGCTTTTCAAAAGTCACCTCATTAACATAAACTCAGGTAGAGTTGAAAAGAGCTTGTTATGAATAACAAAAAATACCTATATCTCTCTTCTCACTTAAGAAACTCCAAGAATTTTAGGAGCTCTGTGCCAAGAACATGGGCAAAAACCAAATATATATTTCTTATTATAAAAGTTTATTTCTAGATATCAATCCTATTCCACTGATCTATATGTCTATCCTGAACCTTGTCTTATTTTCTGTAGCTTTGTAGTAAGTTTTGAAATTAGGAAAATATGAGTCTTGTGACTTTTTTTTTTTTCATGATGTTTTGGCTATTTGGGATTGCTTGCATTTTCATTTGAATTTTTGGATCAGCTTGTTAATTTTCACCCAAAACTCAGCTGGTATTTTGATAGGGATTGTAGATTAACCTGGAGACTATGGTGGTCCCCATTTACCCACAAGAAGTACTTTTCAAGACCTCCATTGATGCCTGAATTGTAGAAATATATATAATGTTTTATTCAATGGAACAAATTTAAAGATCTAATTAGCTTTTGTTAAGAAATTCATGAATTGGGCAGCATCTCATCTAGCAACTAGGAGTGTGCTTGGAGGGGTTGTACAAAATGGAAGGTTTTTATAGGAAGAAGGGTGGGGCAAGGGAGCTACTAAAAAAAGAAAATAAAGCATTATTTTGGGGCAAGGCCACCTTTTCTTTGGGGGAAGAGAACAGGAATGTTTTTATCATGCAGATTACCTCTTCTTTCTCTAGGGCAGGGGTCGGCAAACTTTTGAGACAGAAGAGCTGCCAGGAGTCAGCAAACTGCGTGTGGCTCCTGAGCCACACGCGGCTCTTTGGGTACATACATGTGGCTCTGAAGTAAAATTGAAAATGAAAATAAAACTATCATAGTTTCATTTATAAAAATTTTAAAGGACATTATTCACATAATGGTGATTATGTAAAAATATATTTATGGCCCTCGAATAATTTTTAAATTGTGAGAAACAGGATTGGCTCTTTCAGGGGTCGGCAAACTTTTGAGACAGAATGTACCCAAAGAGCCACATGTGGCTCGCGAGCCACAGTTTGCGGACCCCTGTTCTAGGGGATGAAGAGAACCCACATTTTACTGATGCTTGGCCAGAAAATCTCAGACTGGTTGCTTAAGATTTCATTTCTGGGAGAGGTTGAAACTACAGTTGGATCAGGTGTTAAATCTGGGTTTGATATAATAAGCTTTTAGCACCAGTGACATCAGTTTGGGCCTGTGGCTTTTTTCTTTTAACACATACATATCTATGATAAAGTTTAATTTATAAATTAGACACAGAAAGAGATTAACAGTAATTAATAATAAGATGGAACAATTAAAGCAATACAGTATAAT